ATCCTACTTCCGTAGTGATACTGCCTCGGAAACCCAAGGAGGGGTCGCTATGAGTCGGGGCCGACTCGACGGCACATAACAACAACAACAACAAGCATAACACACATTCCAATTTCAAAGCATTAAAGAAAGAGTTCATCTGAAGATAGATGAAATATCATTCTCTTCCTACTATCTATGAAACTCTACTATCCAGAAGCATTTTTTATACATATTTACTGTCACTTATCAAGGTCAAAGCCAAATTCTTACCTGTGGGTAGCAAAGAAGCTGTCTGTATAAAGTTTTATCAAAAGATCTTATATGTTCACAGTTTACATTTAAAAAAGGCTCCCCGGTAACATTAATCTGTAAGACAAAGCAAAGTTTTATTTTCTCACCTTTATTGGTTTAAAAAACAAAGCTTTATTTTATAAGTAAGAACATCTGATTACCTCCCCAAGTCGTTGCATGTACAGAGGCTCATTAATATCTATGGCAATATTTTCTTCTTCTTTAGCCAGAGGATCAATGAAACGCTGAAGAAATCTCTTAACATTCAGAGTAAAAAAGAATTAAGTTTAATGCATTGTGGAATAAGTATTCAAAATACAAAAAAATCATGAATATGTCCCATTCTTAAAAATTTAAAAAACATCAACAATCTTAAGTCACCTACAAATCTTCCCTTATTTACAGCCACCTAGGCTGTACTTCCTCCCAGCATTTTTAGAGTCCAAAGGTGGGAATTTTAAACAAATAGCTCACCTGAAAATTTTCTTTGCATGCTGCCACATTTACATCTGTTCCCCAAATCACAAGTTTTTGGCCTAGGGATGGCTCGCTTGCCACTGTATCATCTGTTGCTGGCTACAAGGAAGAATGATAGAACCATGTCAACAGAATTAATCATTTTGTTTCACAAATGATGTTATCAAAAGACTGAACTATCTGCTCACACCATCAGACTGCAGGTCCACTTGCAGCCCCTTCCGTGCAGATCCAAGGTCAGGCCTCATCCTCATGGGTGTGCCTCGTATACCACTTCGCGGGGTTCCCTCTACCCGAGAACTAGGAGTGCCATACGTCAATGGAGAGCTAATGTCAAAGTCCAGAAGGATATCTGTAAAAACAAAATTGGAAAACTTACAATGCAATTCTGGTATCCTATCATGCCAGAAAAAACAGCATGTTATCTATTGATCCAAGTATTCTACATGCAACCATGAAAAGCTTATTTACCATAACCTACTGTGGTACAAGAGCCCTGGTGGAGAAGTGGTCAACCCAATGGCTAACCTAGAGGCTGGCAGTTCAGACTTAGTAGCTGCTCCACGGGACAAAGATGTGGCAGTTCTGAAAAGACTACTAGCTTGGAAACCCTCTGTCCAACAGGGTCATTTTGAGTCATAATTAACTTGTTGGCAACAGGTCTGGTTTGGTTTTTCAGTGGCTGAGATTTTCAAGACTACAAAGTATAGTATCTTTATCTATTTGCTAAGACCTAACTATTTAATATTTCCACTATTCAATTTTTAGACCAACCACTACTGCCAAAGATGAAGAAACTGAAGATTTTTACCAACTGCCACAATATGAAATTGACCATATATGTAATCAAGATGCATTGATAATTAACAGTGAAAACAAAGGAGACCATCTGAAGACTTGATGCACTGAACACTGACTGAAGATCAGAAGAGTTGCAAGATGACATCAAGGATATCATTCCTGAAGATTGCCAAAGGTCACTAAAAAGATAGGAAAGGAAGAAAAGACCAAAATAGGTATCAGAAGAAACACTAAAACTTGCTCTTGAATGAAGAATAGCTAATGGGAGTGGAAGAAATGATATAAAAGAGCTTAACAGAAGATTTCAAAGGGCAGCTGGAGAAGACAAAGTATTATAATGAAATGTGCAAACAGCTGGAATTAGAAACCAAGTGGGAAAAACAAACTCAGCATTTTTCAAGCTGAAAGAACTGAAGAAAAAACTTAATACCCGAGTAACAATATTGAAGGATTTTATGGGCAAAATTTCAAATGATGCAGAAGTATCACAAGATAGAAAGAATACAGAGTCACTGTACCATAAAGAATTGGTCAATGTTCAATCATTTCAGGAAGGAGTACAGGATCAAGAACTGATGGTATCGAGGGAAAAAGTCCAAGCTGCACTAAATGCACTGGCAAAAAAACAAGGTTCCAAGAATTGACAGAATTCCAGTTGAGATATTTCAACAAATGGATGCAATGCTGGAAGCACTTACTCACCTAGGCCAAGAAAAATGGAAGACAGTTACCTTGAAAACTAATCAGAAGAGATCCATATTTATACCCATTCCAAGGAAAGGTGATCCAACAGAATGAGGAAATCATCTAACAGTATCATTAATATCACATGCAAGTAAAATTTTTTGAAGATAATTCAAAAAAGTTCCAGCAGTACAATGACAGAGAACATCCAGAAATTCAAGCCAGATTCAGAAGTGGATGTGGAACAAGTGATATTGCTAATATCAAATGGATGAAAGCAGAAAATACCAGAAAGATGTTTATCTGTGTTCTTTGAGTATACAAAGGCCTTAGACTGTGTGGATCATAACAAAGTATGGGTAATACTGCAAAGAAGGGGAATCCCAGAAGACTTAATTGCACTTATTTGAAACCTGTACATAGATCATGAGACAGCTGTTCAAATAGAACAAGGGGATACTGTGTGATTTAATATCAGGAAAGATGTACATCAAGGTTGTATTCTTTCATCATACATCTTCAATCTGTACGCTGAGTGAATAATCCAAGAAGCTGGATATACGAAGAATGCAGCATCGGGACTGGAAGATGATGCATTAACAACTATACATTAACATCTGTAAATATACAAATGACACAACGTTGGTTGCTGAAAGTGAAGAGGACTTGAAGCAGTTACTGATGGGGATCAGTATGGATCACACTGCAACAAAGAGGGAACAAAAATCCTTACAACTGAAATAAGCAACATCGTGGCAAATGAAGAGCACAATTGTCAGGGATTTTTTATTTGGATGTCTATGGAAGAAGTAGTCAAGAAATCAAAATCAAACAACTTAGTATGTTGGACAAATCTGCTACAAAGGAATTCTTTAAAGTGTTAAACATAAAGATGTCACTTTGAGAACTAAGATGCTCCTAACCCAAGGTTGTTTTAAATCATCTCATATGCATGTGAAAGCTGGACAATAAATTAGACCAGAGAATTTATGCCTTTGAGTTGTGGTACTAGTTAAAAATATTAAATATACCATGAACCGCCGAAAGATCAAACAAACCTGTCTTGGAAAGGTAGAGCCAAAGTGAACGTTAGAAGAAAGGATGGCAAGACTTTATCTCACATACTTTGGATATATTCCAGGAAAGACCAGTCCCTGAAGAAGGATATTATGGTTGGTTAAGTAGAGGGTGAGCAAAAAAGAGGAAGACCTTCAGTTAGAGGGACTAACACAAGTTGCTGCAACAAGGGCTCAAGCACAATTCTCTGTGCTTCAGTTCTTTTGTTGTACTAGCTCATGTGGGGGTAATAAATCCACTACCAGCAATTCTGATCTGCTGAAGATCTGTATACCATCACTAACAGCTCCTGGGAGACGTACTTGAAGGATGCAACTGCTGAGGGCTGGAAAACAAGCCGTCCTGCACTGCAGGGCTCTGCAGGTCCGCACCAGGTGAGGTAGGCATGGGCTGCAGCTCTCCCGAAGTGGAGTCTTCACCTCTCTGTCTCTGAGAGGGCGATGATCTGGCATCCTCACTTTGACCTTGTGTCATACAAAACAGAAATGTACAATGATCATCGTCCTCACGCTTAGTTTTTCCTGATCTGTCCCTATCTTGGAACTGTGGAATTCATGAAGCACGAGTCAAAGAAAAGTGTAGCAAGTGGACCGAGGCGCGGCTAACGGATGACAACCTGGAATCGCCGCGGCCAAGGGGAGGCAGCAAGGTTTGCACTTCTTGCTTCCCTAAGGACAGGTTTTGCACCGAAGCCTTGACTGTAGGCCCTGGCGCTGTACCAGAACTGGCGGGAAAACCGCGCCAAGGCGGGGCTGGAACTCACGCGTAGCCAGATGGGCGGTTCGGCCCCGCCTGCTGCCACGGCGGCTCGGGGTCGACGCTGGGGACGACATGATGGCGGCGGGGTACCTGCGGGACAGAAAAAAATGAGCTCATGCGTGCCTGCCCCGCGTGGGTTCGGGCTCTCTCTCGCTTCCACTCCCCCTAGGGCTCCGGGCGACAACCCTCTTTTCCCCGCATCCACTCCTCGTGGGACTCGGGCCAGCACCCGCTCCCGAAGTTCACTCACTGTTACCGGTGCAAGGCGGCGACAGCAGGTTCTCCAGAGGTCTCTCTGGATGCAGACGCACAGCCCAACTTCTAAAAGTGCTGCAAGAGGTCAGGAACCTCCAAATTCGCGCGGTATCGCACGGCTGTTCCCCACCCTTCCGTCGCGTCACACCAATCGCAGTAGCGCGCTATCGTCGCTCCGCCTCGGGAGGTTCCACTACTTCCCAGTAGGGGTATTGCGCCCTTTGCACCAAGTGGTGCGGCCCGAACTGGTGCTCGGTTTGGCGGGAAATCCGCGCGTAGGGCGGGGCTTCCGCGAAAGGAGCAGATAGATTACCACCCTCTGGACGCCTTTTGTTTCCAAAGGCTTTCCAAATACATTTTTCATTTTGTAAAGGAGCAAATCTTCAGCTCTCTAGATTGCAGGCCCCTGTAGTGACGCTGTGGTTAAGGCATTGGTTGGGCTGCTATCCAAAAGGTCAGCAGTTTGAACCCAGCAGCCGCTCAGCGGAAGATGAGGCAGTCTATTTCCGTAAAGCTTCACAGCCTTGGAAACTCTTTGGAGGTCGCTATGAGTGGAAATCAACTCAGTGGCAGTGGGTTTAGTGCTATCTCTTTACTCTCTGTGGTACCTAACACGCTGACTTCTTCACCTGTTTGCGGAGGTCAAACCACGGAGTTTCCCCGATTCTAATGCCCCCATGTGTGCCTACTATGTAGCAAACCATGCACTGCAACCCTTACAAAAGCGGTCAACTAATATCACGTGTCTGCTTATTTCTACCTGCGTACCAACAGCTGTTGCTGTGATCCTTGTCTCTTCTGCAGCTACCCAATCAAGTTGCTAGCCCCACCCCGCCCCTCCCTCGCCCCCGCCCTCGCCCCTGCCACTTTTGCTGGGAGCGGTAGCTCCTGTAGTTAGCGTAGCCATCCTCGCGCCGTGGGGCATTTCCGGTCCCGGGCTGGTGTGTGGAAGAGTGCGGCCCGGGTTTATCGTTATGGATGCTACTGGGGGAGGTTTGCAAGCTTCCTTGCAGCAGCTGCAGGAGTCCTTGTCCGCTGTGGACCGCAGTGTAGCAGCTATGGCCGGTTATCAGCTGATCCGCGGCCTGGGCCTGGAATGCGTGCTGAGCGCCAGCCCCGCGGCACTGGGTGGGTACTTGTCTGTGGCCAGCTTTGAGAAGTTTCTGGTTTGGTTTGTCTTACCACCTTTTTCTTTTTTGACGTTACAGGAGAGGTGTTGTAAGATTCAGGTCTGTGCCAACGCACCCAAATTGGCAGACGCTGATACCCAAAGTAGGGGTTGAAAATTTTTCACCTTAGTCTCGTCTAAACTCAAAAATACCTTTTCCAAACCCCTGAATTTGCAGTTCCTACTTTTAAAACGGGAGCTCTGGTAGCATAGTGGCAAAGGCACTTGACTGCTCACCAGAAGGCTGGCGGTTCAAACCC